CGCAGCCTGATGATCAGCCAGGGCATGGGCAGCAGAAAAGGCAAGGTCTTGTGGAAGGATAGCACATGTAGCTCTTTCCTCGAGCAGGGAAGGAAGAAAGATTGATAAAGGGAGAAAACAGATGAGACTGAGAGGGGATCCGACGGGAACATGTAGTCCTCTCCGTCTTGAGCCATCCTGTGCCCTCTACAAAACTGTTTTTCAAATCCACCATACTGCCTGGCATACAGTTCTTTTTCTCAGGGTTGTGCATATTTTTGGAGGCGGTGAGCTGCAAGAGAGAAGAGAGCCCCGTTTCCAGAATCAGTTCTTGTGACCTCCCTCGCGCCATTCTAACCAAAAAAAGCTTGGTCCTGAACTGTTGCCCTGTATTGTGTGGCAGTATTGTGTGGCCAAACTAAAGGTTGAAGATGATAGAAGTACATAGCAGATAGCCACTCCCCAGATCCCATTCTCCCAATACCTCCAAAACACAAAAACCTCGACTTTTAAGAAAACATCCTGCGCCATCTGCTGAGGCCTGGCTAAAGGCCCGTTTTATAAACCTCAATTTCCCTCCTGCGCCATCTACACTGCTATCTACTATGGTATTTTGGGCCAGTTTTTTGGGATGCGACGGCCGGGTTATAGCCCTATGTTCAACTTCCAGGCTGGCCGAATAGATGGCGCAACCCCCCCAAATGACATCATCTCTGCGCCATCTTACTTGAAATTCGAGTATTAATCAGAGGTCGACATTAGATGGCGCAATGGTTGATTCTTTTGTACTTGCAATGCTTTGTTTTGTCATGGTTGCACTTGTGACTTGAGATGGGTTCTTCAGGAGTGCTCTAATGCAGAAGTTTTGCTGTTCTGTCTTTTTCAACTGTTTGTTTGTGTAAGGGTGGCACCAACGGCCTGCATCTCAAGACTGGATGACAAAATCCAGACCCGCACCGATTTATGGAATAAAGGGGTAAAAAGAGTTTGAAGATTGGGATGTGGAACGTGAGGCCATGTCTATAGTAGATGGCGCCCGTACTTGGCACATTTGGTTTATGGTGTATCAAAGTGGTGCTTGCGCCATCTACTGGGTAGCCTGCGCAGCCTTCCAGATGCGCTATCTACCCCTCGGTCCCTGTGCCATGCACCCGGGGAAAAGTGTATATATATATCATATATTATATTTGCAATTCTGGTTTACCGAGAATGTCGGACTTAGGATCTTCTAGGCAAACCTGCTGCATCAATTCCACCTTCTATTCACACAGTATGTCCTCCAATTGCAAGGATGTGTTTTCCACACGTGGAATATTGCTTGTGATAAATGTTTGATTAATTTCCGCCAAGTTGAAAGAGAATCTCGTTGGTGGTCTTCCAAGAAGTAGCCTGGACTGTAGCTGAACAGGCCATTGACCTTTGTGTCCCGCTGAAGCCGAAGCATGCAAATTTGGACTTTGGTGAGCACGGAGAGACTGCCTACCATAGTCCTGTCCGTCAATACATCCAGGAACCCAAGAAGTTGAGCGGTTTGGAGGCTACTGTCTAAATCCGATGGTGGCCTTCCAGCCAGGAATTTGAGCGCATTTCGAGTTCCAACCCACCGATGTTGGGCATTGGCTTCTTTTTGCCGAAGGAACACAGGCTTTTGTAATTCAATGGTCAATGGGCCTGAGTCTTGCAAGAAGTTTATACCTTATCTCTTGACAGGAGCTTCCTTCCTAAGGCGAAGTTCTTGTTGGAAGCGAGCAAAATTGCTTTGTGACCTATTTTTGGTGACTATTGAAGGAGTGTGTTTGCTTGGTTGGTGCTAGACAGCAATCTCTTGCTTCCATTCTCTAGGCACATGCCAGTTTCCAAGTGTCTTTGGCTTGTGCAGAAATTCGACGGTGGATGTGTTTGCTTTCAAGGCCTTCCCTGTTGGAATTGCATTTTTGATCCAGGTATGGGTCAAACAAACCCACCAGTTCCGTTGTTGGGGAGAAATCATTCTGCCTTCATCGCACAAGAGGTTTGACCCATTTGCCTGACCTGCTCAGTTTGGTAGAAGAATGGTGTGCCAAACCTGGAAGTCTGCTGAGTCTGTTGGTAGTGGAGCTGCTAGCTGTTCGACTTCCTTCAGCGAGACCTGTGTGCTTCGATTGATTCTTGCAGGGGTAGAAAATGAAAGAGTTTTGCGTTTCGCGCAATTGGGTCGACAAATTCGAGAGCAAAAGTAACTGGTTTTCAGATTCATTTGTTTCCTTTCAAGCAAACGCTTTCTATAATGTTCCTATTGAAAAACCACTTCAAGATTCTGGAAGCTACTGTAGATCGCAGTCATATTCTGCCACAAGAAAGAATTTGCTGATAGTGACTCAAAGTTCAGCTGTGTTTCAATCTAACAATTTCGTAACGTCATGTGGGGTCCATTGCTACCGGGACCGTTATCTATACTGATTTACTGCCATGCTATGACAATGCTTCCACAACCACACCATTCTCTGCCCTACCGCATCATTACGCGCTGTATTGTTGGACATTAATATATTATATACATAATTTTTCGATGTGCAATGTCCTTATGCACTGTCGTCCTTGTGAGCATTAGAATTCGCTTTATATACTGTATAGATCTGTATAATACTTTATAACACTTTGTTGTTTTTGTTGCTGCCAGATATATCAGTCCTGGTATTTTTGCTTCCAACGCTCCAAAAGTAAAGCCACGTTGTGTCAGCAACTTGTCGCGCCTCCAACCTTTCTATCCGCATGTGGCCACTAGGGCATCAAGCACCGAGCATTTTGCTTTTGATTGAGCCTGGGACACTCTATTCACCATATATATATAGATTTCCTTTGTCGGAAGTCGTGACTGAAAGTTCGTGAGCTAGCATGTGCAAAGTCGTTGAGAAGGCCTGTGGTTAGAATCCGAAAGAGGCCTTTCTATCCGTTCCCCGAACTTTGCATTAAACTGGCGAAGTTCTGATTGGGATTCTTGCTGCATGATAATTATAGATGTGAAGATGCTCGCTGAGCATTAAGTCGACATGTCACGTCGCATGTTTTCACTTTGCCCGGAGCTTAGTTTTCGACCGTCCGCAGAGGGCGGGCTCAAGAGCTTTGTAGAAAAGCGCTACGTGTTGGCGTTCATTCGCCACTCCCCGCGGCCCGAACTCGTTCGTTCCGCCCTTTTTACTTCGCAGTGGACCTCGTGAGTCGCTACACCAATTCGTCATTGGTAGCGGAGCCTGCGGGCTCCCTACCGGAATACTACGCGACCACGAGCTCATCACCCCGGCTGAGACCGACGGCACGATTAGCATTAGCGTTCTCGCTCTCGCTTGGTGGATCTATCCACTACTTGTTCACCACATCCAGGCAGAGCCCTTTGTCCCTGTGAACAGCTACATGCCACCTCATGGATAGAAGAAAGACAAGCCGCCGGCATCGGGATCGAGCTCATAAGATGGCACCTCCTATATGGACCTGAGGGACAGCTATGTGCCAGTCTTTACCGGTCAACCGGCCAACTACAGAGAATGGAGGCAGAGAATTCAGCTCTACCACCGGAAGATGTCCTTGACCAAGCGAGCCAATGAAAGTGTGCTGAACATCGTGGGCTCCTTCACTGGAGTTACTTGGCGCCTGTTCCAAGATTGGGGCATCGAAGAACTGGAGAAAGAAAACGCCTTCAAGAAGGTCATCGAAACTTTAGATGCCAACTTCTCTTACGACGCCAAGGTATAGCTCCCCACGGACTTTGAAGCATACTTCAACTTGTTGTAGCCGTCTGGAAGATCTTCAGGGGGGTTTTGTGCAATGAGAAGAGGTCGCGGCGCAGCTCCCGTGACGACTACGACCTTTCCCAGTTCGAGGGGGGGCACCA